AGGTTTGATCATATATTTGATTGAACTAGGGTTTTATTTTAGAACCCCTAACTCTTCGAGTCTTTGAATTGAGTTTGGGCTTCCTTGTTTTCATGTGATTTTGACCTTTTTACTAAAACTCTTCTACACTGGATTTCTCTATAGATTTTACAGTAACATGTCAGTCTTCTTTCATGCTCACATGCTCTTTATATATGATGAATTTCCCTCTAAATGGTTTTCGAACTTGCAATTAGTTCAAGCTTCCTTCTGAATATAGCCTGATTGATTTCTTTCCATTGTTTACTGATTTTTCTCTGTTACTCGACCTAAGTAAAGCCCTTTTCCATCTTTCTGACTTGGTTCATTCATACAAAATCTCGGACCCTTTTGATTTACTGGTTGTTAATTGATCTCCTTACCTTATTTGCACAAACCGTGTATTGTCAAAACCTCGTCCTTAAATAACTTTTATGTACTCACCCCTAATTGCCTACTTTGCACAAAGTGTTTGATTAATTTCTATCCTTAATTGGTTTATACCCGTTTGAATCTGAATCCCTTAATTAAAGGGATTCTTGTGTAATTGATTGACAATCAGTTCTTCAATTATTCTCTTACCTTATTTCCTCATGACTTTCACACTATAAATACACGACTGTTTAACGCACGGCACGAACGATTAACAATCCTCCACTACTACTTTACAATCTCTTCTGAACTCTTACTAGCACTCTCTTCTTGTCTATTCTGTGGCTTTCACAAGACTACTGCACTTTCTCTTTGTTTGTTTCCTTTGAAACTGGTACGTTCTAATTTAAGTTTCAGCACCATCACAATGTGTTTATTTACAGCTTTTTGTATCCCTGCCTACTCTACTACTTCTAAATTAAATATTTAAACTAGCATGTTAATCTTTTTTTTTTCCTATTTGTTTCTGCTATGAACCCCGTGCTCCCTATCCCCCTTATGTGCTGTGAGTTGCAGTTTAAAACATGGCAATATGCGAGTTATTGTCTATGGTTTGAACTTGATCCCTTAAAGGATCCTAACTTCTAAACAATGTATTCTAATAGGCTTATGGGGTAGGGCAGCATTCCTCATTGCTGAGTATGCCCCACCAGCCTGCCGTTGCTTTTCCTTTACTATCTCCCCATTCCCTATACCCCTATGTGTATCAATGTGAACTGTTTCCTTTACCCTTTCCCCTTTCAGAATCCTACACTTGCACTCTCTCTTAGTTCTTAGGTTCTGCCCCCCCCCCCTCCTGTGAGCCTTGCCTTGGGACCCTGAGTTCCCTCTGAACTTAGACACTTGAGGGCTGGCTTTTCCACACTGCACTATGTCCTAGTCTGGTAATGTATTTGGGGTGCAAGCACTGCCCGGAGTTCATGTGAGGCTCTTAGGGAACTCTGACACACCCCAAATGAGAGAAAGACTTTGAAATCTGATCTTTGGAGTTGGTTTACTTCATACTTCAGACAGGAAGTCTGAATCAGGCTCTCCTTGGTTGTAATTTTCAATTTCTAATGTATTTTCTTTATTTTCTTTGGACTGTAATAACTTTGTAATAAACTTTCGGGGATGGTTAGTGAAAAAGGGAAGGGTAACCATGCATGTAAAAAGGGATAGAAAACTTGCCTATAGGAATCTCTAATTTCAGCATTTTTCATATAGCTACCATGCCTATAAGATTTCTGGATTTTTCATATAGCTACCATGCCTATAAGATTTTTTGCATTTTTCATGCCTATAAGCATTTATGCATTCTCATTTAGTTACCATGTCTATAAGGACTTCTGCATTCTCATTTAGTTACCATGTCTATAAGAACTTCAGCATTCTCATTTAGATGCCATGACTATAGGGACTACTGCACTTTCATGTAGATATTATGTTTATAGCTTCTGCACACGCATGTAGAAAATATGCCTATAGGTCCCTTCTTATTCTTGCATACCAGCTTTTCACTAGGCAAACTTGTCTATAGGTCCTAATAACAAAAAATGTAATCAGATGTCACGTTCGTAACAAAATGTAACACCTAGATATCATGTTGTAGGTTTTTTTGCATTTTTTTTCATATCTATAAAAGTGCTTAAAATCAACAACGCGTAGAAAGCATGCCTATAGGACCTATCAACCAAGTCTGAAACGTTTCCACTCGCTTATGAGTCTAAAACCAGTAATAATGCTTGCAGAACCTGTAACTTTTGCTAAAGTTTGCTTTTCTTTAATAATCTGGTAATCCCTCTTAATCAATATGTATTCAATCTATTCTGAAATCAGTACATATCATGTCTATAGGAGCTCTTGTCCCACACCTAGGCAAGCCTTAGGGTAAAGTTTTAAACTGCATCAGTCTTTATCAATTATGACCAGCAGGCAAGCCTAATTTAGACTTTTTATCTGGAAATATGTGATAAATCAGCCTGCCCCAGCTTTTAAGTTTTAATCAGACCCTTAAACAGTACGTGTAAGACATGCTAAACTATGTGCCTTTCTTTGCTTAAAGGAGGTCTGTTTGAGCCTTTTGTTTGTTTACATGCTTCTCTCCTCAAACTTTCTATATGTGTTTTGTTTGTCGCCTTAGCATTTTTACCTTTTGAAACCACAAATAAGCCCAATACCTCCTCCCTTTAGGATTAGTAGTCCCAAGTACCTCCGGGACTGATATGATTGGGGCGGGTAATAGCATGCAGTAAGTAAACGAGATCATTCCGCGCTTTAATACCTTAAAGGGGTGAAAAAGGGTAGATATGGATATGATGACCACGCGATAACATCACGCGTAAGAGTGATTACCGGATATTGTGTGGGGTGATCCATATTATTAATAAACCTAGGACCCCCTTCCCTTTGTTTCTTTGTTTCTTTTAAATCTTTTAAAACGTTTCTTTTAAGAAAATCAACTCTCTTTAATGCTTTCCAACTTTATTTATTTCTAACCTTTATGTGAAAAATCCCCTTTCATTTGAAGTCCTACTTGTCTATATGTTATTTGTACCTTAAGTCACAACAATAGCTTGGCCGGGAACCACACTAGTGGATTCTGAGGGGTGCCTAACACCTTCCCCTTGGAATAATTTCAAGCGCTTACCCTATCTCTGGTTATCCAAAATCAAGCTCTTCTAAAAGTGTCCTAATGCACTTAAATCATTAGGTGGAGACTCTTCAATTCTATTAAACCCAATTCCCAAAAGGGAATGAGTTGTCTTCCCAAATGTCATAAACCCGATTTCGCGAGAAAAAGGGGGCACGACAGCGGTGCGCTCCGCACCGCTCTACGCGCCGCGGTAGTGGGAACTCGCGAAAATGCAAAACATAAAAATTGTAGCCCTTTCAAATAGCTTTGCAATGATATATTGTGGAGCCCAAACGAAGTTTTGAGCAAAAAGTTATGTGTATTTTACTAGACAATGCACCGTGTGCCCGCTCGATTCTTTGTTTCATTCTTAACTATCATCCGTTGATCCCCAAACACGATCCCGGCTTGATTCCTTGGGCTTTTACTCAGACTTCAAAGCACCAAATCACTTGAATTCATTTCATAATATCTACACAGCTCGGAATCACTCCTACAAGGCATAAAATACACAATTTAGTGCAAAACATTAGCGATTAAAGCTCAAACTCAATTAAAGTGCGGTAAATTAGAGTGTAATAAGCGACTAAAATACATAATAATAGCCTATCATCAGCCAAAGTATAGATCCATCAACTATTCTACAACAGCATAAAAGAAACAAAATAAAGATATAATAACCGAGAATCTAAATATATTAACCAACTTGGAACTCAAGAATAAAGTCTATAGAAGATAAAATATTCAAAAAAATAAATCTAAATCATACAAAAGGAAACATATTCAATAGATTGTAGTTTGCTACTAATCGCTAGAATAACTTGTGTCTTGCTAGTGAATATGCTGGAAATAATTTAGGGTGAAATTTAAAAATAGCCAGATTTACAACTGGTCGTTCAAAAATAGCCCAGTTTCAAAAGTAATCAAAATTTAGCCACTTTTCATGTAAAGATAAAGAGCGAAAACACTGTTCAAAACCCCGAAAAATACGCCAGTATATTATGCTGGAGTTCCAGCATAAGTATACTTGAACTCCAGCATATTATACTGGAGTTCCAGGATAAGTATGCTGGAACTCCAGCATAATATGATGGAGTTCCATCATAAGTACATTAGAACTCCAGCATAATATACGGGAGTTCCAACAAGTATATCGGTCCAGCATAATATACTGGAGTTTGGAGCACCGGTGCTCCAGTCTCCAGTATATTATACTGGAGCCAGCAAAGTATACCGGTGCAGCATAATATGCTGGAGTTCATACACAGGTGCACCGAACTCCAGTATATTATGCTGGATCGGTCTCTGTTGCAGCAAAATAGTGGCTATTTTTTATTGACTTAGTAAACGCTGGCTATTTTTGAATGACCAGCCCGAAAACTGGCTATACCATGCTATTTTAACAATAATTTAGTCTCAATAGGAGTAGCATTATAGGTTTGAGAATTAGGATTTTGAGTTTTAATTACTTATTGGCTTGTAATCGTTTTCACAATTCCAAGGCCCACGAAAACTTTTAATACATTATTATTTGTAAACTTAATATATAAATATATTTTTCACATGTAAATTTATTCGGTACGGTTCGATATTTTTTCGGTTTATTTTTATAAAATAAAAAACCTACCCTAATTATCGATGCGGTTATAGATTTATATAAAAGCCTATAAGTTTATTAAAAAATCAAAAAATCAGTTCCGCGCGGTACGATTCAGTAAGTTTAGTCGAATTTTAAATATCCATTGATACCCCGTACATATAGTTGTACAAAAATCCAAAAGTAACAGTGTTCAAATAACTATTACTGTTAACATAAAAGGAAAATAAAAATAGAAAAAGAATAATCAGAAATAACAAGGGGCTGAAGAAGGTGTACACGTCCACAAACCACAGCCATTCAGTTAAAAGAGTAAAGCCAAAGGCAATCTCCAAGTCATCAACAATCTCATCCACTTCTGTCACTTTGCCTGCACTTACAGTAAACAGTTTCTATACTTCCATTCACCCTTTTACTAACATAACTTCTTCTTCGTCTTCTATCTTTGCATATTCACCTAAACACACCAACCCCATCTCTCAGTTTACGCAGGTGGCATTCCAGAAACAAGAATTCTCATAGTTGGTGGGCAATCAGTGGTTTTCTTTACCTTCAGTAGTACTAGTAAGTTTCACATTTTACTTCACTTTTGTTTCTCAAATGCTGATACATATGTATTTGCAGACTATAGTCCTTTTTATTTTAATGGGACAAACTTTTAGAGCCTAAATGAAGTACTACTAGATTTAATAGTATGTTCTTGGAATATATTCTGCATTGAACATATTTGTTGGGATCAACCCGCCCGAAGATACTCTTAATTAACATGGTGTGATATTATCTGTTTTGGTCCAAGCATATACGGTTTTCTCAAAAAGACGTGCACAGTTAAGAAATCCCTACACGTTATATGTAGGCGGCCAATCTTCTCGGCTACTAATGTAGGACTTTGTTCGCACACTCAACAATTAAAGTAATTTGATTTGTCTGTCTTAGAAAACAGTGATCATTATTTTCAAAGGCTTAGTGTGTGGATCGTGTTTTCTCCTTTTAGCCCATTTGCATCTTTTAGCAGAGTACTCTGAGCTAGTAGGCATTACGTACTATGTTACCAAGCGAAAGCAAACGTTTAAGGTGATTTTAGTTTGTGTATGAAGTCCTTTGGTAAGAAAACATCCCATTGTAGATTAAAGTTTCCTTATGTAATGCTTTTAAAATCTTCAATCCTTGTGAATTTTGTATTGCTTTGCTATTTATAGAAGTAAGTAGAACATTATTCGAGGTTTTGAAAAGGGAGTATGTAAAGGATGAAGAAAATTGTTTCTCCCCATCTTCTCTTGTCTTGTATTCATTTGAAAGTAACAAGATGCTCTTGGATTGATACAGTTAAAGGGCAGTCTTGAATATTCAGATAGAATCCGTTGAACTACCAAAAAGTTTGAGCTATTTCACATCAATTTTCTTACAAGTTCTGAAGCTGATCAGCAGCCGAGACATTGAAGAATATCCAGAAAGGCATTTCAGGAACTGGCATTGTTCTATCTCTTTTCGTTCCGTATGAACAAAAGAAGCATCCCAAGAATCGATCTTTCTTTTCATTCTTATTTTTTCATTTCGTGTGAAGATAAAACCAATATAATCTCTATTCTTACTAATTATAGGATGTCAGTGACTCTTTACACATAATCTTGCCCTTTTTCCACAACCTCACCAATCAATCATTGTCTTCCCTAAACTATAGAACAGTTTTACCAGAACAAGTGTAGATACGGGAAAAGCAATGGGTCAATTTTCGTTTACTTCCCCTTCGAGCTCTAATTTCACTCTCTTCTATCATACTCAGAACCACAATCCTTCAAAGTTTCATTTTTCTGTCCCCTTCAGAACATCCCAACCATCGTCTTCACATCCTCTTTTACCTCCCTTTTGTTCCCACGAGTCATCTTCCTCATCACCACTTCTTGAAGAGAATCCAGAAACATCAAGATCTTCTTCTAAGTTTGATCGCCAAGATAGACCCTACAATGATGAAGTTGCTGATGAGATCAGCACTACAAAGAAGTCCATGGAAGAGTTACTTGTGGTTCGTAGGCCGGTGAAGGACCCTAACGGGGAAGTTGGTGATGAAAAAGGGGAAGAGATGCGTAACTTTGAGAATTCTCAAGAGAGAAATGATCTCTTGGAAGAGCAATCATCTTCCTCGTCATTTCCACTGGATGATGGACTTAGGAAATTTGCAAAGAAGATGCCAATTTTTGAGCCAAACAGGCTGGAATCAGGTTCTGGAGTGAAGCCACTTAAAGTCAATTTAGACTTAGCTCTATATAGGGCAAAGATTTTGGCTCGAAAGTATCAGTACGCAGATGCAGAGAAAATTTTGCAACAGGTAGCATTCGTTGATCCCAAAAAAAAAAAAAAATACCATTCCTTGTTCTTTTCTCTTGATATCCAGAGGATACTTCGTTATTTGTTAATAATGTTACTGATTTCTGGATCTTTTACGCATGGAGTGTATCGATGTCTGGCCAGAAGATGGGAGACCATATGTTGCTTTGGGGAAGATTTTGAGTAAGCAATCAAAATTAAATGAAGCCAGAGCTGTTTATGAAAAAGGATGCCAGGCAACACAAGGAGAAAACCCTTACATTTGGCAGGTTAGTGTTATAACAGTGTTATGAGTGTATTTAGTCTTCTCCTATACTTCCATATTATACGTTAATCTTGAGCTAGAATAGGAATCTGTTGTAAGTTAAAAGTTTCTCTACTAGCATACTTTAATGCATAATTTGATTTTCAAGTCTGTCGAATATGTTGTTTAAGCACATAGTTTTACTTGTGTTTGATAGCAGATTTAGTTCCAATGATTTGCAACCTAATCAAATGTCATATTCCTTGATGGAGTAAAGATCGTCTATAGTATATTATGTTCAGTTTTTAGTGATCTTTAACTTTGTACGTAAAAGAGAGTGGGCATGTGGAACAGCTGATCCATATACAAACATTGCAATGTTTTGCAATTATTCACCTTGCAACAGGCAAAATCACGCCCAGTAGCGGAGCCACTCATTAGAAAGGGGAGTCATTTGACACCCCTTCGTCGAAAAATTACACTGCGTAAATAGGTTAAAATTGTATATATACGATATGTTGACTCCCCTTGATATCTTCGCATGCTTGCTTATTTATATTTTGACTCCCCTTAGTGAAAATTCTGGCTCCGCCACTGATCATGTCTAATGTCGTTTGGTGTTACTTCTCTTAATGAAGTTCAAAATTTCAGATATCGAAGAAGAGAATTTTCATCAGTAATCCTTGACTGTCTCTTAGTGCTTAACATGGATCAGTGGATTGGTACTTGAGTCTGTTAGGTATTCTTAGTGGAAAAAAAATTAACTATAAAGAGGATTCAAGGTCAGATTATCCGTTTGCGAATGATGTGCCTTCATTGAAAACAATATGACCTACTACATGTCTTCTTGCAACTTATCTTTTGTCCAAACTTACTCCTTTGGACTAGTGCTGGGCTATTCTGGAAAATAGGATGGGTAATATACGGAGAGCTAGAGAACTATTCGATGCTGCCACAGTTGCTGACAAGAAGCATATTGCAGCCTGGCATGGATGGGCAGTTTTAGAGCTGAAGCAAGGGAATATAAAAAAAGCAAGAAATCTTCTTGGTAAAGGCCTCAAGTTTTGTGGAGGTAACGAGTATGTATACCAAACTCTTGCACTCCTTGAAGCTAAAGCAAAACGATATGAAAGAGCCCGCTATTTGTTCAAACAGGCAACAAAGTGTAACCGAAAAAGTTGTGCTAGTTGGCTGGTAAGAGTTATCCAAAAACTTTAATCCGCCTTGGCTCCTTTTCAATGGTTCGTAAACATGTCTTTGGTGGATTCTTTATAGTGGTTCTGTACTCTTCTGCGCAGGCATGGGCTCAACTAGAGGCTCAGTTAGAGAATAACCGTGCTGCTAGGCAGCTATTCGAGGTTTGTATTTACTGAAGTTAATCCTTTGCTATCATCATTGAGCATTTCCTATTTATTTGATGCCATTGTTACTTTAGTTTCAACTTTATTTATTTTTCTTGTATTTTTTATACTCCTGACAAAGCAGAGAGCAGTTCAGGCCAGTCCAAAAAATCGGTTTGCGTGGCATGTGTGGGGAGTTTTTGAAGCTAATCTTGAAAACATTGACCAAGGAAGGAAACTTCTGACAATAGGGCATATGGTAAATCCTAGAGATCCTGTTCTTCTCCAGTCACTTGCTTTGATAGAATACAAGCACTCCAGTGCAAACCTCGCGCGAGTTTTATTCCGGAGGGCATCTGAAATGGATCCAAGGCATCAACCAGTTTGGATTGTAAGACTTTTCTTTTAAATATTAAAAAATTTCTACTGTAGTTAGAAGTAATCCTGCATTTTGTTTCCTTTTTATATGTTCTTAATTTTCAACAGAATAATTGACTGACCTCCTTTACAATCTTTGGATAATCCTCTCAAGCATTGTCTTTGTTTGTCGAGATTCACTTAGGAGCCAGCTCCTCTTAATTGCAACAAATTGATTCAATCAAACTTCCCTTTTTCTTTCCCTCTGAATTTTCGTAAGCCACGTATGTCTATTGTAGTCCGTTAGGAATCAAAGCTTTCCTTTGTACTGATGCTTCACTCCCCTTTTCAGTTAAGGTGGAACATCTACTGTTTTTTTTTGTTTGTTGCTTTTTCCCCTTTCCAATGAGTCCATAATCATCATTTATTTTCGCCTTTTTTAAGTGGGGGAGAAGTTTACTTCCTCCACAATTAACCATTGTCGTCAACATGAATGCGTGCACCAAATGCTGACTAAACTTGGTACTGATTTAGGCTTGGGGTTGGATGGAGTGGAAAGAAGGAAACATTTCCACTGCTAGGGAACTATACCAGAGAGCTTTGTCGATCAATTCAACAACTGAAAGTGCTGCCCGCTGTCTTCAGGTAATGTTAATCTCAAATTGATAGAGTAATTTTCTAGTTTGTTTCTCCTAAAAACTCAGTCTGGCATGCATCTTAAACTGTGGAGGTTATGTTTCCCGTAGGAAATGTACTGAGGGTTGTTTACTAATTTGATGTGCTTTGTAGGCTTGGGGTGTTTTAGAGCAAAGAGCCGGAAATCTATCAGCTGCTCGAAGATTATTTAGATCTTCTCTGAACATAAACTCTCAGAGCTATATAACATGGATGACATGGGCAAATTTGGAGGAAGATCAAGGCAACTCCGTGCGTGCAGAGGAAATTCGTAACCTGTACTTTCAGCAGGTAAATGAGTATTCCCCATTAATACAAGCGATTTCCTTCAACGAGCACATTTTTAGCAGTGTTCTCAATATTCATTATTTCTGCTTAATCCAACCAATAGATGTCTATGTTTACGCTTTGACAATGGTTGTGGCATTGATCACCAATCTTAGAATTAATAAATGGTGTTTAAGCTTCAGAAATAGAGTCATAACAAGAAACAAGCTGTATAAGTTCAGTGAAAACTGAGAAATGGTCTCTTTTTATCTGTGTAACAGCGTACTGAAGTTGTCGATGATGAGTCGTGGATTATGGGTTTCTTAGATGTCATTGATCCGGCGATTGATAGCATAAAGAGGCTCTTGAATTTGGATCAGAACTCATATTACAAGGTAAAGGAGTCTTCTAATACTACTGCTGTAGACGACACTGATGGGAACACAGAAGAATCAACCGGCTCCTCCTCGACTAACATCAGCCAAGAAGAATCAACCGGCTCCTCCTCGGCTAACATCAGCACAGAAGAATCAGCCGGTTCCTCCTCGTCCTCGGCTAACATCAGCACAGAAGAATCAGGCGGTTCCTCCTCGGGTAACATCAAGGACAATAGCATAGATACAGGAAGCGGCTTTGATTTAGATGATTTTATCCGCGAAATGCTGTCTTTGGACCCTTCAAAACTGGAAGTTCAGCTTACAACATCTCTTAAGGACCCTCCAAAGACTATCAGAACTGCTAGTGGGGTGTGGCGGCCGACGAGAAAAACTACCAGAACATCATAAAACCTTTGATTTTATTGTAGTTGTTCAAATGTAGCTTCTTTTATCTCATAATTGGAATTGCTACATTCATTAGAGTGGTCTAATGAAGAAGTCCTGGACCACATTTGTAAATTAGTCAGGAAAATTGAGAAGAATTGTATAATTTGATCGAGAGAAATGCAGTTCAAATTACCTAGAAATACATCTACAGATAATATGAGAAGCATTGTATAATATGTTCGTGAGGAATGCAGTTCATATTACAATAATATGCAGTCAAACCTCTCTATGACAACCTTGTTTATTCCGATATTTTTTGGCTGTTATAGTGAAGTGTTGTTATAGAGGACATATTCTTTTTTGGGTTTCCCACCCGTGTCCGGTATCCAAATTGGGGCCCGACTAAATCCGGATTCGCGCTGGGAAGTCCACATTGGGGGTAAAGCGCTCCTAACAAAGACGATTCCATACCCAGAGACTCGAACCCGAAACATCTGCTTAAAGATGATGGTATAGAGGACATATATTATAACATAACATACAAATCTTCTTTGGCAATAAAGAAGTCTGACTATACTTAGAAACACCATTTACACTTATTATCTTCTTTGACAATTTATATAATGTATTTCTTGAAACTAGACCCAAATTGAGGAATAAAACAAATGATATGCGTAGAGGGACCATCCCTTTGTTATGGCATATTCCTTAGATCGGGATATTATAGCTCTTTGATTGAGATACTATTACAGTATTAAATGGCGAATGTATAAAGAGCTTAATTATTATACAATATTTTTTTGATTGTTAATTATTCATAAAACATTTTTTACCATAGAATTAAGACTTCCGAGTAAACAAGGAGGAGAAGAGAGGAAAGAATAATTTAATTTGCCCCTCGTCCACAGTAGAAAAAGATTGAACAAATTATTGAAAAAATTGTAGTAACATTTTTTTAAAACCAAAGGATATGGGTAGATATCACATAAAGGAAGAAAACTTTTTGAAGTCACTAATTTCACTCTCAATTTGTGCAATATGGTTGATATTTATTGCAATTTTTTAATAACATTGGCCCCTTTGAAGTCCTTACAAAATATCATTGGGACCAAAGGTGAAGAAATACATTCTTTTGATGAGGTAATTAAGATAGATATGGACAAAACCACCAAAGGATGTGGTGCAGCGAATGAGGCTGTTCTTCCCTTAACCAGAGGTCTCGGGTTCGAGTTCTGGGTATGAAAAAATTCTTGGTAGGGAGCGCTTCTCCCCGAATGGGGCGCTATGCAGCGCGAATCTGAATATAGTTGAGCTCCAATGCGCGTATCGGACGCCGGATGAAAAATCGAAAAATAAAAACAGATATGGACAAAGTATATCTAGTCATTGGCTGTCCAATGGCAGGGAGTTTCAGTGACAAGGTGGCAATTTCTTATGGATAGCAATAACTGTGACCTGACCAATTTATATGGACCTTTAAAATTTAACAGAAGAAAAATAAGAAAAGAAATTGCACATAAAATAACACAAATAACTGTTTGACAACAAAAGAAAAAGAATTTTTCTTTTATTGATCACATAAAACTATAAATTTGAATTACAATTTAATAACGTACAAATTAAACTTATAGAAAAATTGTGCTTGTATCAAATGTTCAGTTTGTACATGAAATAACATGATAATCATATTTCACTTTCGAGAGTCAAACAAGAAGATTCTGAAATTAGATTTCATACGACATATCAATATTTCTTTATGTATAATTAATATTTCGAAAAAAATAAAAAATAAAATCTTGAATATTTTGACATTGTTTCTTAAATCTTCAAGTTTTATTTGTAGAAGTCAGAGTTCTTAATGTTAGATGGCATTCTAAAATTTGGTCTAATAGACATTCAAAACAAAATTAAAAGGGATCTCTTCACAAGATATAGCATAAAATTCAGCTAAAATAAAACAGAAGTATAATAATACTAATTTCTAAAAATAGAAACTACCCTGAATATATTAAGGGTTTAATTATATGCAGTAAACGTGACAAGAACTTTTACACAATTAATATAATTTGGCTTGTCCTAGTAGGTTAATTATTTGCCTTATTCTTCATGCTACTAATTTCACTTATTATAGGCAATTACTAGCAACTCTCTTTTAAGTAATAGTTTAAAGTTGTTTACGCTTTTGGTGTATAGAAGTTAAGCTTATTACAACAACAGCAATAACAACGAACCAGTGTAATTTCACAAATCTGAGAAGGGCAATGTGTATGCAACCCTTACCTCTACTTTGAGAAGGTAGAGACGTTATTTTCGATAGACCCTCGGCTCAAGAAATTAAACTCGTTGATTAAAGAAGGTGAAAAAAATATACGAATCTAGATTAGTCGGACCACTGGATTCCGGATACTTGAAAATACAAAAGGTCTAGCACATAAGGAAAAAAGAGAACATGCAAGTAGGCAACCACAGCCATACAATGAGTGAGAGGCTATCTATCTAGTTATCATCCATAATCTCATCCATTTTCTTCCCTCCATCCATTTTGTCCTACTCATCACCTTATACCTTCCATATTTCTTAAACTTCCACACCAAATACCACATTCTTCTGCTGCATTTCTAAAAAGAACAATGGCTTCGGCTGCTCTCTCAGTAGCCAACTCTTCTCTTCAGGTTCCTCTTTCACTCACTCATATAATTAATATTATCCTTTTTTCTTGTTATTAACTTAACCAAATGTAACATTTTTGTTGAGTTCTTGTTTGTTGTATTGATGAGAATGCAGGTCAGCAACAGAGGATTCTCTGAATTCTCAGGGCTGCGTACCTCATCAGCTATTCCATTTGGAAGGAAAACGAACGATGACTTGCTCTCTGTTGTTGCCTTTCAAACCTCTGTTGTGAGTACTATTATTGTATTTTCATCTTTGAATGATTGAGTCTAATAGCTTGTTCAAGCATAAAGATGTCAGATCAGTTATTTGTAAGATAGTTACAAGTATTTCCTCTGCTCACTTTTATTTGTCTAGCATTATAATAATACATTTTCATTTTTACTTGTAACTTTTAGCATATCAAAAGGAATGCAATTTTTACCCTTAATTCATTTACCAAGACTTTTTGAAAAATTAATAGTGAATTTTAGCTAACCAATGCTTAATATTGGAATTGACACTAACCTCTTTATTAACCGTCTTAATACTGTATTAAAATATGGAAAACTTACTCCACTTAAAATCATCTTTTGTCATCTTCTTTGGAATACTTTTTTCTTCAAAAGTTTTTTTTAACTCTCCAGTAAGTCAAATACAGTACCGAATCTACTGTCACAAGTTAAACTATACTGATAATGTAACTCAGTATATATTACTTAAATCCAATAAAAAAGAGAAAGCAGAAGAAAATAAGAATATGTATCCTTCATGTCTATTGTGATCAAGACTCGCGCTCTGTTCTTGTCGTAGTCTGTGCTTCTTTTTTTATGTTGGATGTTGATTCACTTTTTCATTGTGTATAATTTCCGTCCCTCTTTAGTATAGGAAGATTTGATTGCATAAGTTAGAAAATGATCGTTAGAGAAAAGAAAAAGAAGTAGTCCCACACAAGGATCTTCATTTAAATTGGTAATTGCATAAGTTTGAAGGAAGATCAGACACCTGCTATTCTTAAAGAGAATTTAGAACATTGAATTAATGATAACATTGTATAACATCTAAATTGCACTTGCAACAGTTATTGTCAATATTTAAAAAAAATAAAAAAAAAATCATTTACCTTAGATTGTGAAGTGCTAAGATATTTCTTGTGGTAATTACAATGTAATTGGATTTTATAAAAATGCAGATTGGAGGAGGGAACAACAAGAGGGGAGTAGTGGAGGCCAAGTTGAAAGTGGCCATCAATGGATTTGGAAGAATTGGAAGGAATTTCTTGAGGTGTTGGCATGGTAGGAAAGACTCTCCTCTTGATGTCATTGCCATCAATGACACTGGTGGTGTCAAGCAAGCCTCTCACCTTCTCAAATATGACTCCACCCTTGGCATCTTTGATGCTGACGTCAAGCCCGTCGGCACTGACGGCATCTCCGTCGACGGAAAAGTCATCCAAGTCGTCTCCGACCGCAACCCCGTCAACCTCCCCTGGGGGTAAGTTCTTTCATTCTAACATGTAAATAAAGGATTTAAGTTGTATTCATATATAGTGTAAGGAAATTTATATCTTAACCGGCTACAGTAAGTTAGTTATCCTCTTTTCTCAAGTTAAAAAGATTTACCTTATTATTTGTTGTCATCTATAATTGGTTTTTTAGTATGGATAGTGTAAACAATTCATTATACTTTCAATGTACAAGACTTTGAATTATCAAAATAACAATTCACTTGTTCAGAGGCGCTAGCTAATATTTCAAGTTTATATTTAAGTTACTGGATTCTAAATTCATAATTTATACATATGCAATAGATTTTGCTAAGACAAATACAAGGTTCGAACCAAAACTACTGGGTTCGGTTGAACCCGCTCCCGCCACTCTAACTCTGCCCCTGCACTTGTTTTTAGTGTGATTAGTGTAGTATGTGTGGTCCAAGAACAACACCAGCATTGCAAGTGAATTTGTTATTATGGTGAGAAAAAAAAAACAAAAATATGAAACAATAGTTATAAGTTTTAACAATGTCCAACAGTGAGTAGCTAGTAATGAATCATGATAACATGTTTAAGTTAGCTCATGTGCTATCTAGTATATAATACTAGCTTGTGATATCTAGTCAACTTCTAACAGCTACTAAAAGGCATCCCGGTGTACTAACCTCCTTCTATGCACTAGGTCCGGGAAAGGACCGGACCACAAGGGTCTATTGTACGCAGCCTTACCCTGCATTTCTGTAAAAGGATGTTTCCACGACTTGAACCCGTGACTTTCTGGTCACATGGCAGCAACTTTAGCAGTTACGCCAAGGCTCCCCTTCAACCTCTAACAGCTACTAATGTTCAAAATGTTTGTGTAATTTGTTCAGAGATCTTGGGATTGATTTGGTGATAGAAGGTACCGGAGTGTTTGTCGACAGAGAAGGTGCCGGAAAACACATCCAGGCCGGAGCCAAGAAGGTGCTCATCACCGCTCCCGGAAAAGGTGACATCCCCACATATGTTGTTGGTGTCAATGCTGATCTCTACAACCCTGATGAACCTATCATCAGCAATGCCTCTTGCACCACCAACTGCCTTGCTCCTTTTGTCAAGGTTCTTGACCAAAAATTCGGTAATACATCTTTATCTAGTTATACACGAGCATAACTGTTCTTTACTGTCAATGCATATAACTTAAATTCATAAACTAATATTTTTTCTTGCATAGGCATTATCAAGGGAACAATGACAACTACTCACTCTTACACTGGTGACCAAAGGCTTCTTGATGCTAGCCACAGGGACCTTAGACGTGCACGAGCTGCAGCCCTCAACATAGTTCCAACCTCAACTGGTGCTGCTAAGGCCGTGGCCCTTGTCCTCCCAAGCCTTAAGGGGAAGCTCAACGGCATTGCCCTCCGTGTGCCAACCCCTAACGTCTCGGTTGTGGACCTTGTCGTTCAAGTCACCAAGAAGACATTTGCTGAGGAAGTGAATGCTGCATTTAGGGAGGCTGCTGACAAGGAGCTCAAGGGCATTCTCGATGTCTGCGATGAACCACTCGTGTCGGTCGACTTCCGGTGCAGTGATGTGTCATCAACTGTTGATGCTTCACTTACTATGGTCATGGGAGATGACATGGTTAAGGTTATTGCTTGGTATGACAATGAATGGGGTTACTCACAGAGGGTGGTTGATCTTGCTGACATTGTTGCAAACCAGTGGAAATGAAATATGAAATAACAGTACTGCTAAATAGTTGCTTAAATTTTTTCCACTGCTTGTAGATTATTATTCCTTTTTGAAAATTGTAATGAGAACCAAAACAATTTTCCACCTTGTGAAATCTCAGCTTCAATAAAAGTTTCCTTCTTGTCTTTATACAATCTGATTTTGATTCTGCTTATACTTATTACAAGATATTCTGTAGTTCTAACATCATGTAATCAGGTGATGAATAGCCTAAGTACTGAAGAAGAAACTTATTATACTCATTGGTAACAACAACAAAGACACAGTTAACTTATAACTAGAAAAGAAAAGATGTTTTCAGCATGCTCCTGAATTTTTTTCTGATTTCAGAAGAGCATCTCTGATAGAGTAGTGGCAGCCGGGTGCACTAAGCTCCCGCTATGCGTGGGGTCCGGGGAAGGGCGACCACAAGGGTCTATTTTACGCAGCCTTACCCTGCATTTCTACAAGAGGCTGTTTCCACGGCTCGAACCCGTGACCTCCTTGTCACATGGCAGCATCTCTGATAGAGTACAATTTGGAAACAGTTTCAGTGATGTTCATTCTTTCAGCTCCAGAATATGCAGAACAAGCAACCCCAACTTGAAGTATAGAAACCAGACACTCCTCATTCTGGTGCATACTTGTGTTTTGACCTCCATCCTCTTCATTACTTCCGGAAATAAGGGATGGTTCTATGACTTCTGTAGCTCCATTAAGCAACGCATACTTAGCAAAACTCGGCAGGTCTAAACCATCGCTAAACATTCCATCTGTTGGCCTTTTTCCTATGAACATTTCAAGCAAGAGGATTCCGAAGCTGTACACATCACCACAAGTCGATAGCTCGCTGCCCATCCCATATTCTAAAATTCACAAAACAAAATAAGGAACTTTAGTTTCTTAATAGGAACATAACTTAGTAGGACTTGATGTTATAAAAGTAAATAGTTTGCAACAAGTTTCTTGTTATAGAGAAAAACAATGAATGAGAGAAACAGTTACCTGGAGCAGTGTAACCAATAGTTCCTCTAATAAGACTAGAGCTTCCTTCTGAAACAGAAGAATTTTGTGCAGTTGGTTGAAGGAATTTTGCCAAACCAAAATCACCAATATGACCGACCAATCTATCGTCTAGAAGAATGTTGCTTGGCTTGAGATCACAGTGAATTATCGGAGTCTCACAGTGGTGATGAAGATAATCGATTGCAGAAGCGACATCAATAGCAATGTTGAGCCTTTGAAGAATATTCAACTTTTTTGATTCTGCCAGATTTGCATCTTCACTTGGATTCAGATGCAACCAGTCTTCGAGGCTTCCATTAGCCATAAACTCGTAAACCAATGCCTTGAAATCATTCCCTTGATAGTCGATTCCCGAACAAGCTGTGAGAACCTTGACCAAATTCCGATGTCTTATGTTTCTCAAGACATCACATTCAGCCATAAAGCTTTTGGAAGCTCCATGCCGCGAGAGGTTTAATACTTTCACTGCGACGACTATTCCTCCGTCAAGAGTTCCTTTATACACAGATCCATAGCTACCAGCACCAATCAAGTTGTCTTCAGAGAATCCATTAGTAGCTTGAAGCAAATTTTGGTAAGATACATTTATGAGAGATTCGCCAAATGAGCTCAAAACAGGCCCCTTTTTTGGTTTCTTGAATAAGAAAAAAAATAGTAAAATGACTAGAATGGTAAGTCCTAGTATACCAAAGACAATAGACATTACAATGTTGAGGATAAACCTCGAACCAAATTTTTTTGATCTTTTGATGTCGCACTCTGGAAGATGCATGTTAGGCACACCCCCACAAAGTTTTGGATTTCCAATTACTGATATTGCACTTGCATTCTTAAAGATGCCTTCATTAGGCAACATTCCTTCGAAACCATTGAACGACAAATTCAGGAGTTGAAACTTGAAATCTTCCAAGTAATTTGGTACTTGACCAGACAAGTTATTCCTAGAAAGGTCTAAAACATGGAGACCTCTCAAAGAACTAAATGAAGGTGGAATAGTTCCTTGAAAAGAGTTTCCTTTCATGTCTAAGACTTCAAGTCTCACACAGCTACCAATGGTACTTGGTATTTTTCCAGTCAAGTTGTTCTCGGAAACATTGAGATATTCGAGATTTCTCATATGTCCAGCTTCGAGAGGAATGAAACCATCTAGATGGTTCTCAGAAATATCTACAGCAACTAAGGAAGAGAGAGTAAAAAGTTCCTTAGGTATCTGTCCTAACATGTTATTTTGAGCAGCATATATTTCAATCAAATTATTGCAATTTCCTAAACTTGCTGGTATCTCACCCGTAAGATCATTATCGTGAAAAAGAAGGATGGTTACTACACTCAGATTTCCTAGAGATGATGGAATATTCCCAGAAAATCTATTCTGAGACAAATCCAAAATCTGCATTTTCTTAACCTTCCCAAAACTTGTAGGAATAGTACCAGTGAGTAAGTTTTCCCTCACCTGAAATTCTTCCAAGTTGATGAAATTTCCAATCTCAGCCGGTATGTTACCACGTATTTTGTTGTATGACAACTGCACAACCTGAAGCTCAGTTGAGAGATTTCGGAAGGATACAGGCAGAATTCCTCCAAAACTATTGAACTGCATCTCCAAAATTCTGAAACTAGATGCGTTCGTCAGAGAGGATATGAAACTTAAATCATTTGGTTCTCCAGTTCCAAGATAATTCCCTGGAATGGTTAACTGTTGAAGCTCATTCAGGTTTTCAAGACTTGGTACACTTCCTGTAAGTTGATTACCTCCCGCAAGAAAATACACTAACTTTGATGAATTGGACAATGAAGATGGTATTAATCCAGAAATATTGTTCCCACCAATTATAAATAGTTCAAGATTGGGGAGGGTGATTCCCAAACTTGAAGGAAGAGTACCTTGGATTTGGTTTATTCCAACATCAAATGTTGTCATGGAAGAGATGTTGAAGATTGCATAAGGGATGGTACCTATCAAATTGTTTGCAGCTATTCCTAAAAATTTTAAGTTCTTTAGCTGCCCGAGTGAGTCAGGGATTTTCCCATGAAGATTATTCAATGGTGCATAGAATCCTTTCAATGAAGTTAAGTTTCCAAAAGAAGAAGGGATTTCACCTGTCAAGTTGTTTCGAGTGAGTAACAAGTATTCGAGTTTGGACAATGAGCCTAGCTCCGGAGGAAGACTTCCGACTAACTTGTTACCTCCAAGGAGAAGAGATACAAGATTTGAGCACCTTGATAAATTTGAGGGAATATCACCATGAAATGTGTTGTTACCAAGATTCAATCGTTGTAGCCTTCTCAAACGACCTATCTCCGAGGGGATTTCACCACGGAAGCTATTGTTTGACAGGTATAGAGACCTGAGAAAACTCATGTTGCCAATAAAGGGCGACAAGGGACCATCTAGATTTTGGTTCGCGAGGTTTAGTTGAACGACTCTCATGTGTTTACGTCCACAAGTGATACCAGGCCACTGGCAAAAGTTTGTGGATACATTCCATGGTTTCATATATCCAAAAGGATCCTTTATTGCTCTCCTGAATGCAAGTAGTGCTTGTTGGTCTGTGTCATTGCCATGACACAATGCCACAGAAATACAAAGAAAACTTGTAATGAAGAATACAAGGGAAAATTTACTAGTTACTGAGTGATAGGAGGAGAACAATGCTGAATCCATATGCGAATGCAAAAGCATAACAAATTTGGTGGTGTTTTTGTCTCTAAACTCTTGAGAATATATAGAGGAGGCTATCAAGCTACACAGCTTAGTACGGAGTCCATTAATTAAATGGTTACTCAACAATCTCAAATTATCTAGTAGAGTCATCTTTCTTTCGATTGTAACAGATAGGGGTGGCAAACGGGCGGGGCGGATTGGATATGGGACGGGTCGAAAACGGGTATAAAAAACGGACAAATTATCCAACCCGACCCATATTTAACACAGATAAAAAAGGGATAATCGGCGGATAATATGGGTAACCATATTATACATGGCTTCATGAATATGATTACTTTTGGGAGAATTCCTAATCTTGCCAACTTGAGGAACCCCCAATTTGAGGTTTTCAAATGTAAAAGTGTAACACATTGGTCATCAATTGGTTATCCATTTTCTAAATGGAAAATATGGTTTTAATCCATATTTGACCCGTTTTTAAAAAGTTCATTATCCAACCCATTTTTTAGTGAATAATATGGGTGGTTAACTATTTTCTTTTAACCATTTTGCCACCCCTAGACTAACAGAAAAGTCACTTAACTTTGCCTATAGCACTTAGAAGGTCACTCAATAATTTTTCTTTTATTCTATAGATAAGTTCATAATATAAATTAAAAAGAGAAAATTAATATTAAAAAGTTTTAAAAAAAAAAAAGACAAGTAGTGTAGAGGGTAGAATATGTATTTGGCAATCAAAAGTTTGAGAAATTTAGTTGATCTTTTGAGTGCTATAGGTATAGTTGAGTGCCCCCTCGGGGTAGGGGTAAGGTCTGCGTATATACTACCCTCTTCAGACCCCACTATTGGGATTTCACTGGGTCGTCGTTATTGTTGTTGTAGACATAGTTGAGTGCTAAAGATGACTTTAGTAGGTAATTTCGGATAGTTGAGTGACTATTTGAGTAATTCACTCCTTAGCATGAGTATACAGACAGGGCAAATTGGTATATAAAATAAATGAGTTATTAGAGGCAACTGTAGACCGGTCATATTGTAACTTGCAGATGCATAAATGACCAACTGTATTTCTTCTTTTGACTATGATGTAATTCCCAAAGTCAAGCTATTAGAATCTGCTAAAACTTGTTATCAACTTGTTTTAAAAAAGTTTAACTTGATTATTACTTAACTAATGATAAGTTGACTAAGATGTAATTCCCAAAGTCAAGCTTTCATAATCTGCTAAGACTTGTTCTCAACCTTGTTTTAAATTGGTCAAACACTAAGCTCTATACAATACATGCATATGCATAAGGACAGCTGATATTGTTATTTTATAGAGCTATCTGTACTTAATAAACATGGATTAGTTTAACAGCAACTCCCTTTTTGTTACTTGTGTAAACAATGAACATTATAGCAGAGTGAGGATTTTGTTATGTTCAAAATCTGGATCCATCTTTACATTGTCCATCATGTTAAAGATATATACTATTAACCATGAGTTTGGTTTAGATATAGTATTTATTATGAAATAATTGTTTATTCAGTTTTAATAAAGTTTTAAATAGATCATATATTAGTCTGTGTCCTTTGCTTATATAGTAGATGATTTAGTGTATAGAGTTTAGCTTATACACGGAAGATAAATCATCGGTTCTTATAAGTATAAAGTTTGAGTTCACAATCTAATGATGTAATTGGACAAACCATCAGGAATGATTGTAGCACAAGATTAAATATTATTTATCTTGATTATGGGAATGGTTTAATTCCAACTTCTTGTGCTAGTACATTTTGTATGTATTGAACGGACCAAGTAGAGATAAGCATTTTATACTGACTTAATAAAATAAACTCTCTAGCCGTTAAATGTACTTATACTCTTAATCTTGATATAATTATTATTAGCTGTGTATATTATTATTGTTTTAATTTATTAAAAGGCGAGATTCTTTCGTGAGTCAATATGCCTAGTAAATTGGATAATAATAATAATAATGTACATTGGCGAAGTAATAGTTAGTTGATGGAATCTATGTCTCGGTTAGAGATTGATGATACACCTTTATGAAAGCTTATAAGTTTTTATGTGTAAACCCGGCCGGTGGATTTTGTATCCGACACATGAAATAAGTTAAGCGAAAGTCTAAAGGAAATAATCAATAAATTAAATCGTCAGTAATTTAATTTGATTGATTAATATCTGAATCTTAACATGGGGAGTTAAATAAGATTTAATGGATGAATTTCGAAATTGAATAAGGAGTGCAATTACGAATTTTTAGTGGAATAATTCGTAATTAATTATGGTAGATATTAATTTCGAAAATTAGAAATTAATTCCATAATTGGAAGCCTTGTTAATTAAATTATGTGGTCCCTACTGTGCCAAAATAATATGAAATAAAGGAATTCTTTTTCTGGTGGAAAAGAAAACCCAACAGGTTTTGGAAAAGGGTTTTAACCCTTAAAACTTGTGCTATAAATACATAAGGTTTTCTACCTACAAGGAGTAGTACATGGTGACCGAATTTCAGCCCCTTTTTCCTAGAAAATTTTGCCCCCACGAAATTACTATTTTCGGATATTATTTGGGTATACCAGTAGAAGACCGTGGAACGATCGGAGATCATGATCGTGCGGGTGATGGAGATTTCATCGAATTGCTGCGGAATTGGAGGCTCGCATGATAGAGGAGCTTTGTTCACACTTCAAGAAGTAATCGGTGAAATCCCGTTTATACTAGTTGTCTAGATTACATGTGATTTTGACCCAGACCTGGTCGTGATGGCGCTTCTCATGAAGACAAGGCCAGCCGACACATTTCCAATTCGAAGTTAAACAGCTAAACAATAATAAAACAGGCTAAAACATGATTTAATAATACTAAGTAGCAGATAATATCATAACAGTGCGGAAGTACAACCCAAACACGCCCAAACCGGGGTGTCACTAGTCATGAGCATCTACTAAGGTCTAAATACAACTGACGAAGTCTGAAATGTACTAAGTATAGACTAATAGAATAAAGAGGGAGAAAAGCAATGCTGCGAACGCCGGCAGCTACCTTGCTAAACTACGATGACTCTGCCTCCGATCAACCAATACCCGCTACCGGGTTCAGAAAATACCTGAATCTGCACACAAGGTGCAGGGAGTAAAGTGAGTACTCCGACTCAGTGAGTAATAATCATAAATAAAGACTGAGTGATAAGAAATCACGAGAAGTGCATCAACATGTTGTATAGAAGTAGTACAAAACCAGTAAGAAAGCAATGAAGCTGTGAAATCTCTTAAAGCATCTCTTACTTTAAAACTTCTTCAAAAATGGCTTTTCAACAGTTAAGCAATTGAATGCAAAACAACTAGAACAGATAAGCATAGAGAATTGATGACGTCCAAATCCACTACTAAAAAGTAATAGACACGGTCGCATGCAATATAATTTACCCAACTATGAGTCGGGGTCGAATCCCACAGAGAACAATGTGTAGGCGATTAGGAATGTAAGAAAATTATCGCTTATCGCGCAATGCCAAACACTAAGAATTTGATTTTAAAAATATTTATATCTAAATGCGGAAATGTAAACTAACCCAGAAAGCAAGCAAAATGATCAATGGCTACAAGTATGGTTACATCGGAAATTACACTCAAGTAACGATCCAATGTATTTCACGATTTTACAAATATGAGCGAGTTTATGTTAATTAGCCACGGATAATAATTTTTAATTAGCTTCTTCCGAAGACTAACAAGACTTCCTAATTGAATTATCCTAAAACAATTAGAAGATTAAGCACACCCGGAATGGCTACAAGTAGTTCAATCCTATCCCTAGGTAGAATCTACAAAATGAGGGTTAACGCCTCAAGTTCTTGTTAATTAATCTTTCCCAACCCCAAATTATCTTTTCCAAAATTAATTCGGAGTTAATGGGCGAGTCCTAGGGTTAGCTAATCCCTTTGAAAACATTAAAGAACAAGAATAATTAAAATAACAATAACTCACTTCATAAAAGAATAAAAATCATTCAATACATAAGCACAACAAGGTATTTAATCTACACTTTAAATATGAATATTTCCATAAACAAGATTCAAGTGTTGGAAAAAAATACTACACACTTAAATATTCAATACAAAGCAAGGAAATGAAGAAATAAACATAAATGGGTAAGAAATCTTAACCACAAGCTTCAATCTTCAAAACCCAAGTGTGTGTGCAAAACCCTAGCTTCAATACTTGTTCTCTCTAACTCTATGAACCCAAAGATATGCCAAAGATATGCCAAAGATCTGAAGAGGATCCCTCAAATATCTGTTAGGACGAGTATAAAAATGGTTTGGGGTGAAGACTTGTGAAATGCCAATTCTGCCTAGGTCTGATGCACGATTTCCGCACCTGCGGAAGAATCATCGCAGGTGCAGCTCCGCATAAGCGGAACTCTCATCGCAGAAGCGGCGTTGGTCAATTGCACTGTCACCGCAGATGTGGTTCTTTTCTTCGCAGAAGCGTGATCGCTTCTGCGCCTTTTCCTCCGCAGAAGCGAAAATCCCAATCCAGGCATACACCGCAGAAGCGGTCGAAATTACGCAGGGGCGGGGTCGCTTCTGCGACCAAACTTCCGCAGAAGCGGAATCACTGGAAGTTTTGCATAATTTCACTCTCTTTTGCTAAATTCCACTTCAATTCAATCCCAATCACTTCGTAGCATCATTTACCTGAAAATCTGACAACAACCACCATAAACAACCTCATTTTATAATTAAAAGGACATAAAAGCTAAGGAAAAGAGGCTAGAATGAGTGGTAAAATCACCACTCATCAACACCCCCAACTTAAAGCTTTTGCTTGTCCTCAAGCAAATCAAAACCAACACTTCAATGAGGATTCACCATTTAAAACACAAGTGGTATTGATATTATGTACAAATCACATTCTCCAATATAAGCACCATACTTATGGATTTGGTTGGTACTAACAATTAGGCTCAAGTATGTGTATCTTTTCCCGAATGACCCCCTCATAA